TATGTACATATCAATGCTTCATTTCAAACAAGCAAATGTCGTTGAATTGTTTTTGAAATACGGTATCATGGCTTCGGCAACCCATCAAACATGCTTAAAATGGCTTTCAGCACCAAGTCAGAAGACTTTCAGCAACAAGTCAAACGACTTCTGCAACAAATGAACCGCGGCGTCTTGCCTTCGCCAACCAGAACTTTTTGGACGAACCGGCTAAATTGGCAAATAAAACCGCCTAAAAACGGCTAAATGTTTCAACTAAATTTCACATGTTTTTTTTTAAATAAATCACGAGTAAAAAGGCTATTTCTTGGAGAGAAGTTACAAATTCGAGCCGGAAAAAATTTTGTCAGCAAGAATTTGCAATTAGGAAAAACATATGATTGTGGCACATGGTGGGATTTTTTGTCGACGATAATTTGAATAAACAAGTTCGTTAAATTTAAAAATGTACAAACTGGAGCGATTTTAAAATGAAAAACGTAAGTTAATACCCGTTTTGATGATTTGAAAGGTACCCGGCAAAAAAAACTGTATTCTTAATCGGAATGCAATCTCAACCAGAGTCGATATAGTAAACCCGACAAAGAAATTGAAACGTATGTTGAAGAAAGTCGGTCGGACAAGATATGTACACGTAGATCCTATTTTTTGCCCCTCTGAAAGAATTTTAAAAATTGTATAAAAATTTCTTTTGTTTGAAATGCAACTGTGGACACTAGCTCCCAGAAAAACTTGCAAATTTGCGTTCGTACAGAAAATTGCAAGTTTCTCTACATGAGAGAGAATTTGGGAGCATTTTTTCTTACTATCTGATGTTTTGAGTGATAATTCTCGCTGGATTTTCGACGAACAAACCTATTGTCTTCCCTACAAGGCCTTTAGGCAAATAGAAACCAATACACATAAAAAACGCAGTAAAAATTTCCCTTCCATTTTAAGGCAGTAAAACAACGACCTTAAGTTAACATAAACCGAGGCCATATGTTGACAAGGGATGCAAAATCACAGTTACACAAAAGAACTGGTCAGATTTTTCAGAAATCCCTTCAATTCTGATGTAAAATATGATGCCAAAAGACTGCAGATCTCTCATTTAGATGACTGGTCATATGACCGGCAGATGTCTCGTAGGATTCCCAGAGAGTTTTGCTTTACATAGAAATGTGTGCTCTTTTATTTTCATTTTGACTCACTTCAGTGTTGGTTCCTTTAATTCAAGTTGGCATTCGGTTTTTGGAATTTAAATAAGTTCTCAGCAAAAAAGTTTGTTTAAAAAAATACATATGTGACCATAGTGCTTGAAAATATTAATTTTTCCCTTACCTTAAACCTTTGGGAGTGGGCAAAAATGATGTTTGGTAATTTAGGCAGAATTGAATATGCGCTATCTGGGAAGACAATATCTACATGTAATATTTATCCTGTTTGTTGGCACTATATCCAAACACAAACGCATCTTAAGTGTCTTAACAGTGAAACAATTTCTTATTTTCTAAGTTTTCGAATAAAACTTAAAATTAAGACATTTATAACAAACATTTTATGAAGAAAATCCCTTCTTCGTTTTAAATAAAAATAAGCGAAATCGGCCCAATTTCATACAACGCTGCCTGACATGAAAATTTTCTCCACGATAAGGCTAGTAGCCATTTCTAACAGATTTTGGGTGGCTTAGTCAAAAGTGGAAACATATATACATATTTGAAATTTAAGAAAACAAGGCAAATAGCAAAATCGGCTAAAAACGGCTAATTTTTTCTGCAAAACGGCTAACAAATTGGCTGCCGGCTAAATCGAAATTTTTCCGGCTGCTTGCTATCGCAACCGGCTAAATCTAGCCGGAAAACGGGTAAAATGGCAACACTAAATGCAGTATCATGCTTTCCGCAGTCAATCAAATACGTCGGTTGCTGGGTTCGTACACGTTCACTCGGAATACTGGTTTGCCGAAGTCAATATCAGTATGAGCTGTTATAAGTATCGTTCACTTGCGGTGGCTGTATTTGCAAGCACTGCACGATATGCGCCGATATGGATGTTGCCAATCTCTGCTGTGTATTAACGCCATTGACATTAATTCACTTTTCAATTGTGTATTAATATCAGTGACATTAATTCCATTGCCATTATTGCATGTCACCATAAATGTTAAAGTATTAACTCAGAGTGAAATAGAGCTGTAAAACTATCGATCCCAGCTCTATTAGTGATGTGGTTAAGTTCGATTTGAGATGGTTAACTTTTTGATGAAGACCAGAAAAATGTTTTGGAAAGGTGTATGTTTAGCAAATTGGCAGAGTATATGCAGACATTAGTTATTTTACCGCACAGTAGTGCCGCTGCCGAAAGAAAATTTTCAGAGGTGAATCTCATTTATATATAACTATATAAATGTGAATGTCTGTTTGTTTATTACCTTATAACCTTATAAACTTTGCACCTTATTTTTTTTTACCCCGGGAAAGTTATAGGCATACGGAAAAATGGGCAGTACTGAAAAAGGGGACGTGGCACTTCCAATACTAACTAAAATTTTCATGTTGTATACCTTTTGAAATATTTATGGTAGAGTACTGGAACTTTGTGTCGAGATAAACGAAATTAAATTCATACTCATGGGGAAAGATTGGCGGTATTGGAAAAGGGGGCGTGAAATATTTAATCAGCTACAACTTCGGCACCGTAAGACACAAGAACTTGAAATTTGAGATGCAGACATATTTATTTATTTATCAATCAGTCTATGAAAACATAATTTCTTACAGACTATTTAACTATCAAGCTTAAGCTAGGGTATCAAATTAAGAATATTAGTAAAAATTGACTTAGGCAGAGAGAAATCAAGGTCGATAATAGTTGGGATCTGGTTAAATTCACAAATTGCTCGGCCAGTGGTATGGTAGGTTCTTATAGTAAGGTATACATACTACTACATGAGTTTGTAAAAGGCTTAGCGCATCCCAAATGGGTGGAATTTTTTATCAGCTATAACTTCGGAACTATAAGTCACAAGAACTGGAAATGTGGTATGCAGACTTATCTGTGGTAGGTGCTTATAGTAAGGTATATATTCATGAGTTTGTAAAATAGGGCGGGCCACATCCCAAAGGCGTGCAATTTTTTTTCAGCTATAACTTCGGAAGCATAAGTCACATAAACTTGAAATTTGGTATGCAGACATATCTATGGTACGTAGGTGCTTATAGTAAGGTATGTATAAATAAAGGAGTTTGTAGAAGGGGGTGTGGGACATTTCATAGGCGTGGAATTTTTTATCAGCCATAACTTCGGAACCACAATTTACATGGCCTCTTTGATTCCTTCGATATGTCTTTCGAATTTACCGGACTTCAGTTTCCAGTTCGCTTAGCTTTTGCAATGACAATAAACAAGAATTCCTTAAAACAAAACCCAAAACTTGATCGAGAATAAAATATACGATAATTGCATTGGAAAATGCATTAATGTAATAGATGCTTTGAAGTATTAAAAACATTCGGTGAAAAAATATTAGAGTTATTATTCCAAAGAAATTAGGTAGCTAAAATTTAAATATTACAACATTGGTATTTCCAATATTTTTTCCAGTATTTTTTGCTAACTTTATAAATAGTTTGCTTTAATTTTATTAATTAGTTTTAAAACTTTAATCCTTATTTCCATTTGCCAGCTTTGGGAGATAAGTACATGCTTTTTTCAGATGTATTTTTTCTTAGATTTTGTATAAAAAAAGAAGAAAACTGTATAGGTATAGGGTTGATTGAATGAATGGCCAGTCACCAGTTCCGAGTCTTTTCGATTGCTGAGTATGAGGCCTTATGTTGGACAAAAGACGGAGTATAAATGAGCCAAATGGAGGAAATTAGCCTATGGTTACAGAAGATATCGTCACAACACACGAATAAAGGCGCGGTAGTGTTTTGACAGCGAAAAAAGATGCTTATGACAAACTTCGGCGAAGTATGTTAAGAGTCTTTGACGCTGAAGTTTTTTATGCGTCTTTTTTCGCCGTCATTTTTTGAGATCGCACCTTTATTCGTGTCTAGTGACGATATGTAATAAAGTAACCGACAAAGACTTGCGTGCCGCTTGAGCTTTTCTCTCAAAGTGTTTACCGCTGGTAAACGCAAATGAAGGTTAACATTTAAAAACTTATTAATAAAATTTAAGTAAAATCTAAATAACACAAACGGCAATAACGCAAAATTTGCTTTATTTCACTATTAAATGGGAAATAATACCAAAATCTGAGTTTTGCTTTATTTCCAACAAAGGTTGGAAATAAAACAAATTTTGCCTTATTTCCCATTGCTTATTTATACTATTTGTAAAAACAAAAACAGTTTACTGACAGAAGGAAAAAGAACTTTGTTTATTCCAAAAATACAATTAAACCAGGGCACATTGAACAGGTAATATTAGTCATATATGTAATACTCCTATATTGGCAGTAAGAGCTAGTACCGTCCGAAAACACTACAGTACAGATATATCAATAAACACGTACGAAAGAAAAGGAACACATACGTTTATAAATAAACATGTACACGACACATTTACAAAAACGGCACTCAAGTACACAATACATTGACAAAAATAGTACTAGACTCCCTGTAGAAATTTTAAGCATACGACATCGCTGTTGGTGGCATGAGCTTGCCTTCATTTCCATTTAACACGCGTGGTTTCTCAGAGCGTATACGTACCTTAATCATGCACTTGTACTACTGCTGTATGCATATGGCGGTATTAATGTTTCAAATATACAAAAATGCATTAATGGTACAGTATTAAAGCATTCTTACAAGATATGTATCCCCATATGTAAATGCTACTTTTCTGATACATTTTAATATACGGGGACATACAAACAAGTAGCTTTTACATATTCAAATGCATATCTTGTAAAAGCCCGTTTGTGCTGAAAATAGTATCGCACAACACGTCTGTTTACTAAAATTTTTGTACAAGACTGAAAATTAGAGCTGCAAAACTATCGATGGCACTATCGATAGTATCGATAGTTTACAATTTGACACCACTATCGATAGTTGTAAATACTATCGAATGGTGACATTCCTATTTATCTAGAAAATTCAATTCAAGGAATTGGCGCTGGGAATTGGCTTGTGTAAGAAATAAAAAATTTATCAAATATACGTACATATGTATGCACATACTTTTAATTTATTTTATCTTAATGCTTTTATTGCTATATCAGGGTTATAAGATGTTGGCCGTTGGCTCGAAAATGGAAAATTCGGAAGCTTCGCAAGGTAAGATTCATTTAGCCTGTGGACTCGGCTAATTTATAAATTTTGACAGCTTGTAACACGGAGAACAGTCCCGAAGCAGAAATTTTGTCCAGCGGCGATGATTCCACCACAGTTAAAAGGCGCAAGATAGGCGGCTCCGAAGTATGGAAATATTTTACGCATTCGAAGGGGAAAAAATTTGCAAAATGTCGGTCATGTGGCAAAGAATATAGGACAAGTGGAAACACGTCGAATATGTTTGACCACTTAAAGCGTGCCCATCCCAACCTAAGAGGAAAACCAAGTTGTTCAAAAAAAATTAACCAATATTTCACCAGAGACGCAAAATATGATAACAATTCTGAACATAAGAAAAATATTGATGACGCTTTGATATGGATGATTGCTGCGGACATTCAACCTTTCCGCATTGTAGAAGATTCCGGATTTCGTAAGTTTGTCGAGTGCCTAGATCCTCGTTACGTTTTACCAAGCAGAACCTCTTTGCAAAACGTACTATTGAAAAATACATACAACGACGTTAAAAAAAAGTTGCAAGTTATTTTAAATGGCACGCAATATTGTGCAATCACAACGGATTGTTGGACGTCGAGGGCCAACGAAAACTATTTGACGGTCACTTGCCACTTTATATCAGACAATTGTAAGTTGCAAGTAGCAGTGCTGTCTACAAACAAATTATTGTCAGGAACAAATCATTCGGCAGAAAATATTTCGGATACGTTGCGCAGTGTTTTGTCGGAATGGTCTATTCTCCACAAAGTTACTTCATTAGTGACCGATAATGCTGCATCTATGTTGAAAGCTTGCGAGATATTGCAGAAAAGAAACATTCCATGCTTTGCCCATACCATTAATTTAATTGTACAAGACGCTTTGGGTAAGGGATACATAAAAGGCGTGTTGGTGAAGTGTAAGCATATCGTATCGTGTCGTACTTTAAAAGTAGTACAATTGCATACGAGAAATTCAAAGCTGCACAATGCACTCCAAAACCATACAGTTTAATACAAGAAGTTCCGACGAGATGGAATAGTGTCTCATGATAAAAAGGATTTTATTAACGAGAGATTCAATCTCCAACGCCTGCTACGCCAAAAGCTCCACCAACACTTACTGCCGACGAAGTGGAAATATTAGAAGACCTGTGCGCACTATTTTCTTTGTTTCATGATGCCACGGTTCAGGCTTCGGCAAACAATTCCGTAAGTATTTCATTGATAATTCCACTTTCACATGGTCTGTACCAAAGCTTAAATGAGCTTAAAATGAAGATGAAAACGGCTGAAGGTTTAAATACTTGCAATTACTTGATCGAACGACTAAGCATTAGGCTATTTCATTATGAAAATCGAACCGTAACTAGGATAGGGACGATTTAAGATGCAAGATTTAAAAAGGAGGGGTTTAGGTCTTACTCCAATGCTGATCAAGCATCAAAGCTTTTAGAAGATGAAATAGTTACCTTACTGAGAGATTCGTCAACAAATGCAGATATGTCAAAACCGTCAACATCATCGAGTATGCCACACCAACAATCACTTTTAAAATTTCTTAACAAAAAAATCGAAGAAAAAGTCAAATCAAGCAGAGCAGATGCTATTATAACTGTGCGACAGTACCTTGAAAGACCAAACGCACCACAGGACAGCGATCCCTTGGAATATTGGAAGGCAAGCTTTTCTAAATATTTTGTTACAACAATATTTATATGAATAAATACAATTTGTTTTACAGAACAACGAAAACGAAATGCAAGCTGTGAAAGCTTGCGCAATGAGCTTTTTTTGGCGTCCCAGCTACGTCCACAGAATCAGAAAGACTGTTTAGCAAGGCCGGTTTAACGGTTTCTGAAAAAAGATCATCATTGAAACCAAAAAATGTTGATATGCTTCTCTTTTTAAACAAAAACAAATGGGTGACTGCAGTGGACCTGTAACCCAGGAAAGTAGCATGCCATGACAGGGGATTTAATACATAATTTCACAATTCGACAGTGTAAATACCTCCAAAATATTAGATAGTGCAGGGTGTAGGTAAGGTCGAATACAACATACAAGTAGATTTCGTATAGTCCAGGAACCCTCAATTTTTTTTTATAAAAAAAAATTTTTTTGAACTTGATGTACTCTTCTCTATATAGCGCGACAATACCAACCAATTTTACAAATCAAATATGTTTTGCAAAAGGGATTTGTAGTCCATTAAAACTGTCTAAAAAATATATTGTTTGGAGTTTTCATAGGGTAAACCTAAAAAACAACTATTTTGCTTAATCTTTTGTTTTAAGTTTAACCATAGTTTATTACTAAAATTGCAATTTTTTTATATTTTACGACTCTTATTGTAATTTTAGTAATAAACTATGGTCAAACTTAAAACAAAAGATTAAGCAAAATAGTTGTTTTTTAGGTTTACCCGATGAAATCTCCAAACAATATATTTTATAGACAGTTTTAATGGACTACAAATCCCTTTTCCAAAACATATTTGATTTTTAAAATTGGTTGGTATTGTCGCGCTATATAGAGAAGAGTACATCAAGTTCAAAAAGAATCTTTTTATAAAAAAAAATTTAGGGTTCTAGGACTATATGAGATCTACCTGTATGTTGTATTCGACTCTACTTACACCCTGCACCATCTTATGTTTCGGCGATATTCTGTTAATTTTTTTAGAGCAATATGTTCTTAGAAAGTATATGTATAAATTACAAATCTACTTTCAAAAACATTCAGGAAACTCATATTTTGAGAATTTAAGACTTAGCGTATGCAAATATGCGCCTTTTATCACTTTTTAATTATCTAATATGCGGACACTATCGGTTGGTGAATATAGGTTAGAATAATATCTAATCCAAAATACAATACAATACAATTGAAATTGATTTTAAGTTCCTTATTTAAAAAAATAAAAGTCAGTACTTGAGATTTTAATAACTTTAAAGAAATGAATAGTGACCCTATAATAAGTCATCATTTTTGAAATCAGATTTAAAATCTAAACAATATTTTCCCATAATATACAACACGAAAAATTGTTTGGCTTGTGTAATTTGCAATGATTTCTATTCGTTGATCTCAATAACAAAAATTCATCCTATATATTTTTTTATTGAACATGAAATGTTTTTACGTGTACAAATTGTTTTTTTTGTATTGCTTAAAATGTTGATTATATGTATAATAACAGAATATAATACACATAAACATATCGTTTGTAAAAAACTAAATTTTCCTTGTTTTACTAAATATTTACCATGCTACATATATGTATATGTATATGCATATATTTAACGTTTTTCTATTTTTAATTGTATTAGAAACCGCATATTACCATAGTTAAATTTGTTGGCTATTTGAACACACAAGTTCAAAAATGTATACCACATCAACCAATCTCAAGATCTGGAACCTACCAACTAATGGCCTTATTCATAGAAAATAAAATAGGCTTAAAGAGCTTTATTAATTGACATTTTCATAAAAATTTTCGATTTATAAAGCAGTCTACTTTATTTTTTATGAATTTGGGAGTAAATTTATACGATACTATCGATAGTTAATTTTTTATTTGACTATCGATAGTTTTTTACCTCCAAACGATACTATTGATAGTTTTCCCCAAACTATCGAAACTATCGATTGCTGTGACTATCGATAGTTTTGCAGCTCTACTGAAAATATTACAAAAATTCCACTTCAAATTTATCAAGAAGTCTACTTAACACAACGACAACGTTCATTCGCTTGCAATTCGCTGGAATTTGAATTTATTCGTGGAAATTCATGACTACGCATGAATTGTTCACACTATTCACTCATATAGCAAGCATTCTTTACACTACTACGAATGCATACAACCGATTTCTACTGGGCTGTCTCGCTTTGATTTCGGAATGCGCTTCCACATTGAGATGTTAGCTTACTACCAATATAGAAGTATTACATATATGATATTAGTATAGCAGCTGATTTGAATTTTTTCAAATTATTTGTTCTCGAAAATGTCAAATATTTTACATTTCTTTTCACAAAAATTCTAAATTGTTGTTTCCATACAAAACCAGCGATTAAATAGCAGCTTTTGGAAAGCTCGCCCAACTCAGCAGCACAACCGCTGATTACTGGGCCTGGCACAGGATGGTGGATCAATGCTTCGAGAAGCGAACCAATTTACTAAGAAAGAAAGTTGCAACAATTTTCATTTTTTCAATTTAAATTTTTTACCTTATTCGTATTTCGCATGGCACGCTTTGATGTAGAAGAAAAAAATCAGAACAGTTTTTGCACGTTCGATACCAGAAGCAACAACAAAATACAGGCAAATGTTGTTTTTGCTCAAATGCTCTGAATCTGTTTGATAGGCCTTGAATTAAACAAAAAATGTGATATAATTCATATGAAGAAAGTAATATTCACAAAATATTTTTAATTATGAAAAGTCTAATAAAATATAGGAAAAGCATCGTCTTTAAAAACTGCTCCGCATATTGGACATAGCGCTTTTGTATGAATTTTTTCTGCATGCTTTTTAATATGTTGTTAAAAACATTGCTGGAAAACCTTAAAATGTTTGCATGGAACCATGTCGCAATAAACAGATGAAGTAATAAAACGGCTTTCTCGCTTTATTTTCTGACATTCGGCTGCCTTATAGTCACATTTTATAGGCAAATTTTCAAATAAAGCAGTGACACCTGGTAAATTCCACTATGGGTGGGATGCAGCATGCAATAACACCATACACAATAATTCCCATTAATTGGACATTAAAAAGCAGTTTCAGAAGTGAACTAGTGTTATTTTATCATTTTTCCTTTTTCTAAACGGTTATAATGCCACCAGCACATAATTGTATACTTGCAAATCCGTCCATTTAGCTTGTTCATGTACTACTTTTTGTCAAATGTAACTGGGTGACTACCTACATATGTGCACTAGTTTGCTTTATTACTCAAATTGTTATGTATAAAAGTTGGTCTTATTGCTCAACGAGAAATGAAATAAAGCAAATTTGTGTTATTTAACATTCAAATGGGAAATAACACAAATTTGCGTTATTGCACTAGAACTGTAGCAAACCGCATGTATTCGTTACTGAGAAACGAATACAACCCCTGACTCGAAGTACCGAATCGTTACTCACATAATAATCTCGTTATTCGCATGTTCCGTATATGCACCATCAACGTGAATCAATACAACACAACATATTGTGTGGGAACGAAACTGTTTTTTGTATCAAAACTAAAGTGTGCCGCGTGTGTATGTACGTACATGCATGCATGATTCGTGTGAGGTACAAGTGCTTGATGGTATCAAATTTTTCGAATCGATACAAAACTATGCTGCGTGTATGCATATGTATTAGGCCGGGTCGATTTGTGGGGAGGCAAAAAAATCGCCCATTGCTCTGTGAAAATCATATTCTAGGGATCAAAATAAGAAACTTTGCCGAAGGAGCCATACCTCTAAAACGAATTCTGATGTCCCCCAATTTGGGTCGAACTTTTGGGTAGGGGCAAATTTTGAAAAATCCCACTTTGACCCATTTAGAGTGCTCCAATCGAGTCCAAATGTATGACCGACCCCCACTAACTTTGGAGGCCCGACCCACCGATGCCAGTGGCACACCCCCTGGAACCCCCCTGGGGGTTCACCATACAAACATTTCAAAAAATCGCCGGTTTTGCACTTTACATGAAAAAATCAGCGAAATGCCTATGTTTTTTCTTTTTGGAGTTTATTTTTCTCTAGAAATTTATTTAGTCAGAACATATGTAAATGAAAAAATGAATTTAACTTAGTAATAGAAAAGAAATTAAAAAAAATTATTAGAAATTAGCGTTTTACAACCCTTTTAAAACCAAGGCATCACTGTGATGCATTTGCATGTCGTAAACATAGTTGTATGGGTTTTTTATTCAACCGTTTTAAAAAATGAAGGTATCACTGTGACACAATTGCAAATCGGAAAATTGCTTGTGTGCGTTTTTTAAGACACAGCTGCATGTCGTAAACTTACTTGTGTAGTTTTTTTATAGCACCTACTTAAGAAATGAAGGTTGTTTTTACAACCCTTTTTGTGGGTATTTTAAGGCACCTTCTTAAGAAATGCGCGTTTTTTGCAACCATTTTAACAATTAAGGTATCACTGGAATGCACCGCAACCCTTTTAAACAATGAAGGTATCACTGTGACACAATTGCAGATCGTAAAATTGCTTGTGTTGCTTTTTTTTAAGCCACCACAAGACACAGCAGGTAGAATTGAAATTACCATTTCATTCTTATTACCTCGTCTCGTAGACCATATATAACGCAACAGTTTTTGTGAATGCATTAAGTCGTTGTGAAGAACTCAAAGTGTGAAGTGCTAATTTCAGATAAAAAAATATTTCAAAAAAATAATAAGTGAAGTGACCATTCCAAATCAAAAAGTTTACAATGAATCCACCATCCTCTACACCGCAAGATGAAGCAACTACATCAACAACTATCGAAAACCCAATGAGTCATATACCCAAGCATGATGTTACTGTTTTTGGTGTGTCTACTGATTTAACTGATCTTAATTTACCAACCCATCTGGATATCTTGAGATATTATTTTTACTTAAGCGAACGTGCTAAAACAGAACAAAAAAAGTTTTCCCATAAATCATT